CGCCTCGGCCGGAAGGGGGTCCAAGTGATCCGTCCGGGGGTTCGTCTGTTAGTCCCCCGGCGCTGAACCGTCCCTTGACCTTGGGGGGTCCCGTCGTCTATTTACGGCGCGGGCTAGGCTTGATCGGTTTCCGACGACTGCCGTTTCACCCCCAAGTTTGGGGATTTCGTCACCTCAGCCATTCTTTCAGGCATGTCGCCGTGCGTTGCGCGCCGGCGACGCGGCGAGCGTCCTGCTCCAAAAACGCGGGCCTTTTGCAGGCCCCTCGTCTTTAGAAACCATCGACCATACCTGGGCATTTGGCCTCGAAGGGGCCGATAAGATGTCTGGATTGTGTTGTAGTTTACTTAAATTCATAGAAATAAGCGGAATACAAGGGGTGCGTTGTTTGACAACGGCTTTGTTAAGATTCACCACTCAAGGCCGAGGGCTCTAGGCCGAGGGGATGGTAATGTGCCTCGAGGTCGAGGGCCCAAGGCTGAGACTAACGCCAAAGGTGAGGAACATGATTAGCGGAGGTGGCGCTTCTTCGGCTGGGGCTCCTCGAACTCCTCTCCGTCACTGAGCCTCCCGATTTCATGTTTCTTTGTTGCGATGTCCTCTTCTTCTTTATCGGTGTTCTCCCCGGTGTTTTTCCTTGGGGCATTTTTGATGAATTGGTGGAGTTCACCCCGTTGAATTAAGAGTTCAATAGCCTTCTTTAACGAGACACAATCGTCTGTATTGTGGGAAGTGCTTTTGTGGTAACGGCAATAAGTGCCGCCTTGGTGGATGGCGTAGATCTCCCTCGCCGACCGAGGGTCCTTGGGGAAAAGGTCCTGCTCTTCCGCATAGTTGAGGATAGTGCTCACCGGGTGCGTGAGGGGAGTCCTCGGCATGTCCAGCCGAGGGCGCCATTGGCGTTCGTTACGGCCCTGCTGGGTGTGGCTTCCATGGTCTCGGCCTCCGGCCGAGGGCACATTTGGGGCCGACGTGTTGTTTATCTTCTTCGAGGGCTAGCCCTCGTTCTTCTTGAAGGAGTGGAGGTCGTCGGCGTCGGCGTATAGGCTCCCCCGCTGGAGTGCTCTGAGGTATGATCTTGGGGGGTCGGTGATGAGGCTCCGTGCGTAGGGGCTGCTGCGGAGAACCCCCTGGAAGAGGACGAGGAGGGTACGCTCGTCGGCGCCCTCGACCTCGTCTGTCTCCTTCATCCACCGGTCAATGAAGGACCGAAGTGTTTCGTCAGGCTGTTGCTTGACGGAGAGGAGCTGGGAGAAGTGCTTTCTCGCGCGCTTCCTTCCGGCAAAATGGGTGAGGAAGCATTGGTAAAAATGGGTGAGGAAGCATTTAGAAAGAATTTAGTCCCTTTTAGGGTAATAAATCTTAATTTTATTGTATTGGTTCTTGCGAAGTAATTTTCTCTATTTTGTTTGATTTGTCATTATATTTAGAAGCTTTACCTTTTTTGTTAATTGATCTGTTTGTCATTTTTGTATTATCTATTAATTTGTAGGTAAATCATTCTTTAATATGATTTGTGCATAGTAAATACTCCCACCGTCCCATTTTATTTAGTCAAATTTGACTTTTCAAGTCAATGGTGTCCAACTTTGATTGATTATATATTTATAAACATAAGTATTGATAATATGAAAATAATGTCAAAAAGTTTGATGGATTGTGTACCCGGGGGGTATATATCCGAGGGGTTATTGCTGAGAATAACTTAGAGAGAAGTCAGAGCAAATAAGTAAGAGAGAGAGAGTGTATATTCGATATGTATTAAGCGTGGTTTACAATGGGGGAAAGGGGTGCTATTTATAGTAGTAATAAATGCTAGATAAGGACACGTGTCAGTTTTCTGGTGGTCGAGGGGTCACCTCGACCGGGGTGGCACTGGCACTCGCATGTGGCCGCATTAAATGCGGTGGTTGGATGTGACGTTTGTACTTGGTACGGTGATCCAGGCGCATGTGAAGAGGATATTCTGTCGAGGTGGATACCTTCGGCTGAAGGGTGCTGGGCCGAAGGCTCTTCTAACCGAGGGCTCCTACCTGCCGAGGGCTGCAAGTGCCGAAGGCTTGGTTTTCAAGCCTTGTTCTCCTGTGATGCCTCTTCTAACCGAGGGCTCCTACCTGCCGAGGGCTACAGGTGCCGAAGGCTTGGTTTTCAAGCCTTGTTCTCCTGTGATGACTCTTCTAACCGAGGGCTTCTACCTGCCGAGGGCTGCAGTTGCCGAAGGCTTGGTTTTCAAGCCTTGTTTTCCTGTGATGTTTCTGAGCTCGATTCCGTCACTGGTAGCCTTCGGCCATAGGGCCGAAGGCACCCCTTTGCGTATTGTGGGCTGCTCAGAGCTCCATTTTGCTGGGCTTGGCCCGTTTGGGCCTGTTGGGCCTGATTGTAGTAGAGGAAGTATATGGGCCGGGGGTCCCTGGGCCATATACTCCATCAAAGTTTTTTGCCAAAACACTACAAGAAATAGCATCATTTGCGTCTAACTTTTTTGCGTCGACAAAAGTGGACACAAATAACTACTCTTTTGCGTCGACACGTGGACGCAAATGATGTTGTTTAATTTCCGGATAAAACCTTATAAAATTTTATTATTTGCGTCGACACGTGGGCGCAAAAAGAGTTTAGTTGTATTTGCCTTGCTGGCAGTCCACGCAAAAAACGAAATGTGAAATTGGGCCAACATGGCGTTACTTATTAGCGACTATATGCCGACGCTAATGCTGAAATTTTTTTTAAAGAGCAGCAGCTCACTTTTCAACTGAGTTAGGGCATATATTTCCAAACGATGGCTGAGCGGCGGAAGTCTTCTATGTGAGTTAGGGCTGAGCATCTCGGTCAGTCTTCTTGGAAGTTTCCTCTGGGTGAGCTATTTTCGCGCTCGACTTCGTCTTCTTCGTCCGGCTAGTTCTTGCACTAGCTGTCTTCAGGTTGGTTTTTCAGATTTCAACTTCAGTTTTCTGTTTATCTTATCACTTCACCCCTAAGCTGCTAAAAAACTTTGAGATTTTCTATTAACTATTGATTATTTATCTGTTAAGTTTAATTGATTTCTTAAATTTCTAATTTCAAGTTGTCCTAAAACTTCATCTTATTGTCAAAATCTCAAAGTTGTTTAGTAAGGTTAGTTCTTTGCCTTTATTCTGCAGAAAAAAGTAATCAATTTTGTTGTTATCTTTGCTATTAATGTGTTTTTCATTTAAATTTGTTTGTTATTATAGTGTTATCTTTGTTTAGTAAAATACACTCTGGGATCTCAAACTAAGAGTTCATTCCATTACTCCAGCATTAAAAAAATGTCATTACTCCCACTAATAACACCTCATCACCGAGTACCAGCGAACTAAAATACGGAAGCTTATATTGTTATAATTTTCTATTTTGTCTGTTTTTACATATGAAATATAAAACCCATTCAAAGTAAAAAACATCAGGCAGTAAACAACATGCACTCTACACTCATTTAAAATAGATAATGGATTTTTTTTTAAAACATAAGTTGCAGCTACTGTTAAGTGGAGTATTAGATAATTGCAAATGAAAAAAAGTAAGTTGAAAATGAAGAACTACTTAGTCCTTACAGAGTATATATATATGTATATGTATACATACACATATTGTCATACGTGATTCACTTCGTGTGATCATTGTCAACACAACTCTTCTTAGCAGGTTCCTAAGATACAAAGGGAGAGAGACGGTCCTACGTGTGCTGAAATTGAACAATCTTGAGTCTTCTTCCACAGAGCATGGACTTGAAGAGTTGTGTTTGATCTTCTTTTTCCAGGTTTCGAAAGTTTCTTTGCTGACTTTTTTGAAGAATTAAAATGTACTCCGTAGTTGATATTGGTTGTGCTAATTTTGTGAGGTTTATTGTGAAAAAAAGAAGTCTGGTTACTATTTTATGAAGACTTTGGACCCAACCTACCATGTTTTCATTTTCCCACTTTTCTTCACAAAAAGAAAAAAGAAAAAAATGAATAAATTAACTTTTTGAACTTATGAAGACTTCAGAAATTAAGTGCTTATTCAAATTAACTAATTTTGAAGACTATTTTAACTTTTTAATGGGCTGAAATTTTAACTTAATGAACTTATGAAGACTTTAATTTCCAGTCTTTCTTTTAATGAAAGGAACACGATGGTGTGGAGTTGGAAGTGACCATCACGAACCCCTAATTAGAGCAGTGTACTCATTTCCCTATTTCATACAACTCTTTTCCTTAGGGTGTCACACAGAGGAGATTAACCCATTTTGTTAGTCAAATTTTTTTTACTGTTAATGGCAATTGTGGTAATTCTGATAGTTATTTTGGCAGTTTTTGTCGTTGTTAATTGTTGATATTTGTATTGTTCATCTTTTGAGTTGTAGTGTTTGGTTTGGTACTGGCACTAGCTATACCTTCCAATTAAGTCACACAGTAGTCAAAGTAGTTTTTCTCTCTGCCTTTTGTATTCCCAGACTTTGTTTAGATCATAGGAAATGATTCTGATTAAAAAAATACAAAGGGTATAGTATTTTTTATTTTTGATTAAAAGGTTTACTTCATTACTAAAATGGATTTGTCTATAGAAACAAATGTATTACTGCATCACACTTCTATTTCATACTATGGAGTATGGAATTTTAATGTCAAGTGACGATTTGAATAAATTAAGCCCCAACCAATACATTGTAAAACATAAAGAAACTGAATAAATTTTAATTGCTTGTTTCAATTAAGCCCCAAATGGGTTAATGGTAGAGACTTTGGAACTTAAAGTCTTAATTGTTTTGCAAATAAATATGCAAAAACAACTTATGAATAAAATAAGTCTTATATGAATTCTAACTTTTAAATAACTTTTAAATAACAAATGTTTTCATTTCCTTTTATAAACTTAACTCATTCACTAATCCTTATTTGATAAATATATTGATAGTGTTGAAGTTGTTCTCTTTTAGGTGAGGATGCCGATACATAAGAGTTGGATATATATAAAGAATCGATTATCAAATGAGTATTGGAAGGGTTTACAAGGTTTATTGATTTAAATTTATTTATTTCTAATAGTGATCATGTTTTACATATTGTAGGACTGGTTTGAGTGCGATAATGACAAGCTTTTTGATGAAGTATTGATTCGAGATGCTCGAGAGTCCTACAACGATTGGAAAAGTGATTTATCTGTGTATTTCAAGAACAAAGGAGGAATGCAAGCTAAGAGACCTATAAATGTACGAAGTGATGAGCAATGGCAGAAGTGTTGTGAGAGATTCAATTCTACGAAGTTCAAGGTTTAGTATGAGTATATTTCCTGATAGAGTATATCTAGAGAGAAGTGAGAGCTAGAGAGAGAAGTGCAATAATATGCTTCAATAGAATGAATTTGTAACCCCTATAACTACTCCCAAGGGGAGTATTTATAGAGAAAATTAGGGTTGGACTCCCAAGCCTTGGGCTTGGGAGGCCCATTTTCAACTGGACCGCTACTGGGCCGGATACAAAGCCACTAATGGGCCGTACGAATGAGTAAGTGTAAAATCTGATTCTGGGAGGTCTTCTTGGCCGACGGGGGCGTGGCCGACGAGGGCACGGCCGACGAGGGCACGGCCGACGAGGGCACCCGGGTTCCTTGGGCTCAGGACCATAATCCGAGTTGGCCCCTTTTCGGCCGACGGGGGCGTCTTGGCCGACGAGGGCGCCACTCTGTTGTCTTGTGCTTTCTGTTCTTCCGAGTATGTGGGTCCGGAGGCTCAGACCCATATAATCCATCATTTCCTTTTTATTATACAATTAAAGTTCTAATTTCTGACTTAGTTTCATACTTACAGGAAATTTCTTCAAAAAACCTACAAAATAGAGAAGCAAGTGATGATAAAAGTGGGCATGAGAGAAAATCATATGCCCAATACATGCACGAAAAAGTAAGAAATGAGTCTTTGTTATTTCATTTTCAGTTGTGATATGTGGCAATGATTGGGTGATTACATATATTTGTTATTGGTGTTTGATGACATATGAATGTATGTTGTAATTTCCTTGGCAGTTTTTATGTTATATTGTAGTTTAATTGGGTGTCATTTTTTAGGTATGGTGCAGTTTTTTGTGTGATTTATTGTGTTTTTTTTGTGGTACAATTTTGTTTCGGGCTGTCCCTAAGGCCTTGGTTAATATATAGTTTACCTCTCGTATATATTTTAATAAGCAATATGTATATCACTTAATCGTGTATTTCTGCTTTAGTTTTGCAGGTTTTTCAAAGATTATATTTAGTAGTACAATTAGTGATTACTGATCGACCAATGTTAAAATTTCAAGCTACTAATTTAATGTTAATGTTAGTTATTGATCATTCATGTTATTTTAGATGTTGACAATTATAATGAATATTAAACAGGATGATCCAAAAACTGGTGAGCAGTACTCAGCTCTTGAAAATTGGAAAGATCAACGTTTGACTCGTAGTGGCGAATGGAGAACAAAAGAAGCACATGAAAAATATGTAAGTATATTAAAAATATTTTATTAATTGTAATCATAATGATATGTAACTGTATGAGTTGGAATTTGATAGACTCAAATGAGCGAAGAGTACCAAACACAGCTAGGACAAACAGGGTCATCGTCTTCAATAAATGAGATTCATATTATGCACCGGAACTTGAGAAGATATCGCGGACGCCAAAGCGGAGTGGGTCCTACCCTATCAAAGGGTGCATCTCGACGAGTGGAAGATGGCGCTACTTCAACATTCCAAGACCACCGGGATGTTCAAATAAGTGAATTGAAGGCAAATCAAGAGTTGATGCAAGCAAATCAGGAGTTGATGCTTCGTGCCCTACAACAATTTATTCCTGGCTTTCAACTTCCTTCACGCAGCTCCGCAAATGATGTTCCTTCGACATCAAGTGCTAACCAACCTGATCAGAGTCTCGATGAAGATGATCAAGATTGATAATATCGAGTTGAATATGCTTTTTACTTGGTTAAGATGAACATGAATTTATTTATGTTTACGTTTTGTGATGTTTGTAATGATTTAATGAAACTTCGTTGTAGGATAACTCACTTTTACTATGAATATTAAATGAATTTATGTGTTGTTGATATTGATTGTGTTTGGATAGATTTTGGTAACATTGGTTTATTAATAAAAGTTTTGTATGAATAGCAATAGGTTATGTGGTGTAATTTCAGACCTGTACAGTGTTATTTGCGTCACAATGTCGACGCAAATAATGTATTTTAAAAAAATGACTGATAGGCTTTGGCGTCAACGTGTGGACGCAAATAAATATTCACCTTTTGCATCGACATTATGCATGATTACTTCCGGAAGATCTTTTCCATCCATATGTCGAAGCAAATAAGATTTTATTAATTGTGTCAGACAATGTCGACGCAAAAACATTATTTGCGTCAAGACTTTTGCGTCAACCCTTTTGCGTCAACATGTGGACGCAAAAAACGCATTTGCGTTGACTTATGCTCTTTTGCGTCAACAATTTGTCGACGCAAAAAACGTTTTTTCTTGTGATGAAAATACTATCATAGAAGTATAAAATTATTAGATTTTGCATAAATATATTAGTTAAAATAATTAGTAAAGTTTGTCATCTTTGATTAAAAAAGTCAAAGATGACTAAATAAAAAGGGACGAAAGTAATACTTTTCTGTTTACGGCCTCCAATATTCTGAAGACACCCTTGCCTCGATCTCACTTAAAGGTTCCCGGACAGATTACGATGTTTGACAAAAGGTAACTGAGCTATGTCAATAATAAAATTATTTTTAACAAATTAAATTTACATATTAAGAAACTATATTAAAAGTCTTACAAAGTTGCAAAAACTCAAATTTGACAAAAATCAGATTTAAAAAGTAAAATTCTTAAGAACAATTTACGTTGACCGGAGAATAGTAAACGGAAATCTTTATATGAAATGGAGGTAGTATAACCAAGCATTCCAGCCCAGCTGGTTGTAAGGTTACCGTATCTAGTGGGAGGTCTCGAGTTTGAAATCCGCTAGGCACATAAAGGGTTTGAAGCTCAATGGAGTGAGTTTCAGCCATGTTTACTTCAGCCCTCAGCCCCCCTCCCCCATACCCCTGGAGTAGAAACAAAATGGAGGTAGTATGCCCTGGTAATAATAAAAAATGATCTTTAATACTCCGTTGAATGATAAGAATCCGGTTAATCTGTGTTTTGGATATTGTTTAAAGTTAGGAATACTTGATCTAGATGATAATCACTATATAATTTTAATAATTTCTTAGTGCTAAATCTATTTGGCTCGAACTCATCTTTCACACGTTTATCTTTGTTTTCATTGTGGTCTTCTATTTCTTTCAAGTGCCATCCAAATAAAATATTAGATGAGAAAGAACGTAACATCTAAATGCATAAGGTAAAAAAAGTAGAAAAAGACATTTTTAGACCAGTTATTCCGTCTAATAATATGATTTATACTTTAGTACTTCTAATAAGCTAAGATATGCCTTTCTAAACTTGCAAGTTAATTGGATGGACTTAATAGTAGATTAGTAGTTACATTCTCCCTTTGTTTTATGAAAAATACATAAATGATACTTTAATGTTTTTATATTGATGTATTTTGGTACCTTAACTCTTAAATGAAGTAAATTGGCATCACAATTGCTTTTAAATGTTCCTCTGATGGTACTATTCAAATTTCCGACCAAAAATTATACGAGACTCCTGGAATTTTACATATGTTAGCCCAATAATTGCTCTCAGTGTAGTTTTTATTTTATGATTTCTCTTGCCTCTGATTATGTGCACAAAGACTAGCTAGAGTATCATCTTTTTATGCATGCATTTATTTACCTTTAATTTGTTATTCAGGTTTCTTCCGTATTACTTTTGCAACCCAAGAAGTCATATAATTAACTAAATGCAAATATATGACTTCAAGCATACATATAAAAAAATATACATGTCTTCAATCATAAGGTAGTCAATCATTCTCTGTGGTATTATATATTGCACAGAGTACGTAGAAGTTCGTTTCCATTTTCAATGTATGATAATATGAATTATTAGTATGTTTTAATTCTATTTAACTATTACTTGTATTTCCTAATCGATTTGAATGCGGTTGTTTTATATATCAATAAGCTTCTTTAATTGACTTCTTCCTTGTATACACACATTCTTTAGTTTAAATTTAGAAGAGGCAGCCAAAGAGCAAAATGGATGATACAAACAATTATCACTATTTATGCTACCATTGCGAATCGGTAGTCTCATCTCCTCATAAGGTCACCTTATGTCCTGAATGCTTTTTTTGGCTCCTCTATGAGATTCAAAGCATTACATTCTACATCAAGGATATCGAAAACCATCAAGAGGCACTGGTACCGTGGCGATGGAGACCTAGAAATGATGGAGAAGTAGAATCATATGCAATGCCTCAACGTGCAGGAGCTGTAATACGTTTAAGATGGAACAAAGAAGGGGCACCACCCCCTCCCATTCGGTGGGAGAGTGGTGTACTGCTCCAACCCGCCATGAAACGGGTAACAAAATGCAATCAATGGTATTGGTGCTACGACTGTCGCAGACGAGGAACATTATTAGATTCAAGCGAAACCATACATTGTCATGAAAGTTTGCTTCATCGAGCAATCAGATTCACAGATGCAACAATTGACAATCAAGATCACTTATATTGGTGCTATCAATGCAATAGACCTTTTGTTAGAGTCCCTTCTTCGTCTTCTTCTTCTTCTGAAAACATATGTCCGCAATGTCAGGGCGATCAACTAATGTCGATGATTCACATTCGAAGAGTCTGGGTCGTTTGCGGAGATCTAGAACTTCATCACCCTTGTGTATGTTTGAGAATCTATGTGAGCCTTATTACGAGGTGGTCTCTACAACCTCCACCGCCGGAGCGCGCATGGTCGAAGCAACGCAAAATAGAGTTGTTATCTGGTCCGGAGGTGGCTGCTGGTAAACAACAACTCAATGACATGGTCTTGAGATTAGCTCACGAGGAAAACATTGCAACACTACAGTTCCATCTTCGAGGTTGCGGGCAGCTTCCCACAAAGTCTTCAATCTCTATGACATGTTTCAAGTCGCCTCTACTGCTGCTGTGTAGCTGGTACATCAAATTGATCAAATTGTTATCCAGTTATGTTTCTGCCTCAAAAAGTAGATAAGGAAGAAGATTAAGATGTTGAAATACAATTGAAAAAATATCACCAATAATATTTCAACACTAATACGGAGTACTTTGTAATAGTATTTCATGTAATTATTATTACTGTAAAATAATAATGAAAATATCAAAATCTTTCTACATAGAGTCTTGTTTATTTCTTTCTTTTCCGTTGTACCCAAAATAAAAAGAAATTAGTATTTCACCCGTGCGTTGCACGGGGTGTAAAATTCTAATATTATAAATTTAAATCATTAATTAAAGATTATATTATAATTTATCACTCGAATGTGAGAAACCATTACTAAATGCATAATAAAAAAATATTTGAAGTTTAATACGCATACAATTCTACAAATTATTGAAGATTTCTTTCTAGCCAACATTTTTTGCGGTTTTTTTCTGCATTCCCTCATCGTCGCATATCACGAACTTCAATCCAGACGGACTCGTCACTCTCAAAACCGCAACATGTAACTACCCATGTGTAAAAATCGGACGTCGTAGAAAACCGCACCACATTGTCCTTTGCTCTAGTTCGTCGTCATTGCATAGCTAACCATCAATGGGAATTGCCTGCGCATAAATGTTAAAGGTAGCCTCACATTCGACGGGGTTAGATTAATAATGGGGATAAGAAATTTCTCACCTGCATTAGTTCCAGACATCATCTGTGCCTTAATAATATGTTCACCAAGTTTTGTCACTAAAAGTCGGGTATCATTACACAAGCTAAGCCAGCCGAATGATCTATATTCCTCATGAACATCATTGGTACACCAACTTTTTGCTTCAACTCGTGACTTGGAACACCAGAACATTTTATTTCCATTAAGGAACTCAGGAGAATGAATTTCCTGAAGGAGCTCATAGTCTAAGGTTGTGGAACACACTGAATCTGAACTGAAATATGTCTTTTCCTCTGAGCCGTTCTGCAACAACATGAAATCATTGACCTTGTCTACCTCATCAATTGTCGGTGCAAGAATCGATCTCCCTTCAAGATATAATATATTGTTCATGTTCTTAAAAAAATCTGGATAGGTATTGTTGACAATGGATTCAATGAGATCAGATATTATTGGAACATGAAAATTTTTAGTTATATCAATTTCTTCTTCTCCATCATCGCTCCCTCCCAGAACACCATCACCAATTTGCAGTATACAATCGGTAAAAAGCTTCAAAATACTTGGATTGGCCGATTCATTTGTGAAGTTCTTGAGTCTCATATTTTTTGTTACTTCAACATCGTACAATACTGCCACAAATGTGATGCATTTAAAGATGCGTACGTGAACAATATCCTATCTTGTGCCTTTAGAAATGACAGACAACACTTGTCTAGAGTCTCCACAAAAAACAACTGTCTTTCTACATATAATCTTGTTCATTTGTTTCTTTTCCGTTGTACCCAAAATAAAAAGAAATGAAATCTAGCGACACATATTAGAAAAGTAACAGATGTGCTTGGAGCCTTAGACACATCAAACCTTTACCCCTTTTCATGACGTAGTCTAATAATGTACGTAACTATTATTTCCTGTGTTCCGTTGGAATGTTCCCGGTTTGACCTACACACATATTAATGAAATAAACTTATCAGAGGGTAAATTTTACTGTTTTGACACTGTTTCGACACTGTTTGGCACTGTTTCGACACTGTTTGACACTGTTTTGCACTGTTTGACCTTGTTTTGATGTAGGATAACTTTTCATTTAGGGAAATGGGAACTTTCCAACGGGACATCCAAAAAAGGAAAACGGGAACATTCCAACTGGACGGAGGGAGTATGTGATTTTATTAAGATGCATAATTACATATTTACATGAACCGGTTAAGTTTAAATGTCCTGTAAAATGATTGCTAATCTTAAAAGTAATGTCTTCTTTATTGAGTTTTAGTTGGGTTGGTTTTTTTAGTTTGAGTGTAATTAACTCTAATAACATACTCCCTTCGTCCCTTAAAATTTTGCCAACTTTCCTTTTTTGGATGTTCCATTAACTTTGTCACTTTCCCTTTTAAGTAAAGAATTTGTGGTTCCAGTTAATTCTCTCTCCTCTGCACAAACCTCAACCACACAGTTTTTACTTTATTAATTCTCGTGCCGATCAAAGTTGACAAAGTTTTAAGGGACGGAGGTAGTACTACGTATAAAGGATGGATGTTCGGTAAATAGTCAAAAATTAGGATGTTTTCTTTTTTATTGTTTTGAGTCCAATACCAGACCAGATCAGATCAAACCAGACCAGACTTCCGTAATTATAAAATACACAAAGACCAGACGTTTACCAGACCAGACCAGACCAACAAATTTCAGTCCAACCGAAAACATCTTTAGTTTCTTTGAGCAACTTTAGCTAATTGAAGTAGTTAAATAGTCGAAAATAATATTTGGTAAATAAGTTGTTTGTATAGTTTCTTGATTCAAAGCGCCATTTTTTGAATCACTGCCCTTTGCAGCGTTTTACAATAGCGGTTCTCAAAATAAAATCCAAAAGACGATGTTGCTCATTATGCAAACTCTCGTAAGTGCTAAATCCGTTGTGCATCTATAAATTAAATCTCTCAAAAATTTATAGATTAACTCTTTTAGAGGGAATTACCCTTAATTCTAATCAAATCATATACTTTGGACGAAGACAACTTCCCCCCAAGGGAACACTTTTCCAAAAAAGTCACGACCAGCTCAGAACTAAATCAAACAGTCAACTTTTTATAAAAAAGTTATCACCTTTTTTTAAAGATTTTTTTGATGACTTTTCCTTTCATCTTCTACTCATCATAAATACATATATGCAGGGGCGGATGTAATTGCCCTTTCAATATATGCATTATGGATGCCTTTCAAGGATGGTTGTATCATTAATATCATTGAGTAGCTCTAAGTAGTCTTTTGGGATGTAGAGTCTCTTGGCCAGAAATTCTAAAGGTGTAGAGTCTTTTGGGTTACAATCCATGGGTTGGATGCCTAGTTGCTGAAATTCTCTAAGCGAGCAAGATATTGTATTAGACTATAATTATTCCTGTATTATTAAATTATAATGTTAGACTATTTTACTACCAGATTATATTTTTTTCCAGTGGAAAGAGGCTGGATGGAGCCTGAAGTAATATGATTGAAACTTCATCGTACTAGAGTGAGTTGGCAACTAGTTAAGCTACGTGGCTTCTTCATTGTATTAGATTTTTGTGTTAGACTATTATACACTCTCGTAAGGACAATTTTTGTATGTGTCTATGTATATGTACCACGGTTCTAAAAATTGGCGTATTCAAAGAATTATATTCCATCTTATAGATCTTAATTATCGAGAAGCACGACTACTTAAATGAATGCCGACCAAGAAATGAATAATGACAAAAATCATTTTCAATATTTTAAGTTCTTAGATACTACCTTTTTTCTAGTTGCAACATTGGTGAATTCTGTACTATTCACAAACTCTACTTTGACTACATTATACTATCCTTCATTCTGTTTTAATCGCAACATGTTGAATTTTACACTATTCACATGCTCTACTTTGACTACATTTTACGCTATTATTTTACGAAAATTATTTTTTCAAAAATATTGTTCAATTCATTTCATTACAAATTTTCAAAATCTGTTTTTTAATATTTTTTTTACTAATAAAATTAAGATATAATTACGCTCAAAGACGTGCGTTGGCAAATGTGAAGTGTTGATCGTTGCAACTAAAAAAGAACGGAGGGAGTATTTATCAATGTATTATTTCCTTCGCCCCTTAAAAATTGGCCAAATTTTACCGGCACGAAGATTAATAAAGTAAAAACTGTGTTGTTGAGATTTGTGTAGAGGAGAGAGAATTAACTTGAATCCCAAATTTTTTACTTAAAAGGAAAAGTGACAAAGTTAGTGGGACAACATAAAAAGAAAGTTGGCAACATTTTAAGAGATGGAGGGAGTATAAATTAATTCTTTGATTTTTTTTTAAATTCCTATCGTTTTAAATTTTCATCAAAATCCGAGTTTTTTAGTTCATCCATGGAAGCTTGGTCTCAGATGGTGTGATAATAGATGGTCTGGTCGTCGTCAGTGTTAGGTTTTCGTCTAGAGCTTCATCGTAGCAGTGACTTTAATTTTCAGATCTGCACTCGTCGATGACAGCGGTAAGGTGGCAGGGGAGCCGCGTTGGTGCAGCGGTTGAATTGGGGAGGGGGCTAGGGTTGGGAAGGTGGGCTGAAGATCAGAGGTGGTTGGGAGCTGGGAAGGATGCTGGGGATGGGGGTTGTGGTAGGGCAGGAAAGGGGGCTGGGGCTAGGGAGTGCGTAGTGGGGTCACTCGGCGTTGGGGAGGGGGCTTGTGGGATCACTGTTTAGGGTGGCGGCGGTTTCTGGTTGGTACTGGGCAGTGGGGGTGACAGGCGTGGGGGCTGTAGATGGACTGGTGTGGCTGGCCGCCTGAGAGGGGCGGCGGCAGGTACCTGCGATGGTGGAGAGTGGTGGTAGCCGACAGTGGGAGGTCTGGTGGTGGGTATAGTGACATGGGCGGTGGCTACAGTGACACAGACAATGATTCTAGTGACACAGACGATGGCTACAGTGACACGGATGATGACTACAGTGACACAAACGATGGCTACAGTGACACTGGTTGTGACGACAGTGACATTAAAACTGGACAGTGACATTCAAATCTTGCAATGACATGAATATGAACTTATTAGTCACATTTTTGTCCTAATGTTAAAATGATCATATTTTTGGAAAATTGTCTTTAGTTGAGTAATATTTAGGTAAAAAAAACCCTTTCTAGTGAGATGTAATTAAATCATGTTTTCGTTCAACCATTGAACAGAAAATAAAATAAAATAATGTCTATTGTTCATGATTCATTTCACAAGTACCAAATTTCATGAAAAACGAAGTATCTTGTCCACATCTTTTCTTAATGAATAGACTTATATTAAAATCATGAGTAAAATGATATGTTAGCCACTTATGGTTTTAGAGCATTTGTGTTCTTGACAGTCCTAGTCGAAGACAATTCTTCATGAATTTTAAAGATGACGATGAAAGGCTCAACTGGTTGAAGTTTATGCACGCAAAAGGAATATTTTAAGTACATTTAGTATGCTATTTCGACATACACATTTAGAATGTTATGTCAT